TTCACTTATTTATTTATTTATTTTTATATATTTATTTATTCATTGATTCATTGATTTATTGATTTATTCGTTTATTTATCCATTTATTTATTTATTCATCTATTTATTTTTTATCTATTTGTTTTTTACTTATTTATTTATTTTTATTTTTTTCTATTTATTTATTTTTATTTGTCTATTTATTTATTTTATTTATTTATCTGTTTATTTTTACTTATTCATTTATTTGTTTATTTATTCATTTGTTTATTTATTTATTTATTTATTTATTTATTTATTTGTTTATTTATTTGTTTATTTATTTATCCATTTATTTATTTATTTATTTGTCTATTTATTTATTTATTTATCCATTTATTTGTTTATTTATTTGCTTACTTATTTATTTATTTATTTATTTAATTTATTTATTTTTTATTTATTTACTTGTGTTTATTTATTTATCTATTTATTTACATTTATTTATTTGTTTATTTATTTAATTAATTAATTTATTTACTTGTTTATTTATTTATTCATTTATCTAAAACCAATCGTCCATTCATTCATTCGTTTGTTCATTTAACATCAGCCCTATCCTCCTCATACTTTATTATATACATTTCAGCTCGATTATTTGAACATGGCGCTCTGGAAGGACCTAACACTGAAATTGTAAGGTCAGTTAGTTATACCTATTTTCTTCCTAAAAATCAATCAATTGATCAGCTTAATTAGTTTTAGTACTAAATTTCTAAATTATATCTATTCAATATTTTCATTTGCTCTAATAACTATAATTTGATATGCAAATCATTCCAAAATATAAAATCTAAAAATGAACTTAAAATTATAATTCTCAAGAATAGCAACGGAAATTTACAAACTATTTAGGTCTCATACGTTACAACGTACACGTCAACCTACCAAATGCGCTCATTGCGAAACCCTTTCATTGCTATCTACGATTCAATGCTTAAAATGCGGTATGACTTGGCATAAATCATGTTTACAACGAATTACTGTTCCATGCGATCAGAATCCAAAAAGTTTTTCTGATTCATCTCGTCGAACCAGTGTATTTGGTGTACCATTATCCAATCAGCTAAATGGACCTTCTCAGTTGGTTCCCATTGTTCTGGAACGTTGTGTTGATGAGCTTCAAAAACGTGGATTAAAAGTGAAGGTTCAATTTTAAATTTTAAATTTAAACAAACATTTGAAGTAAAATGAAGAAGACAATACGAATACTGTGGGATTTTTTTAATGATTATCAAAATTCGGTAACATTCCATTTTAGGGCATCTATCGTACGTGTGGTGTAAAAAGTAAAATTGAACAAATTTGCGAAGATTTTGAACGAGCAAGTAATGGTAGCGAAGTGGATTTAAGTAGCTATCATCCGATGAATATTGCTTCCGTTGTTAAGCTTTATCTGAGAAAATTACCGGAACCATTACTGACACATGAGCTTTACGACGAATGGATAGCATTCGCTGAGGTGAGTTATTCCGATCAATTTGAAAGTTTAAAATTTTTGAAATTTGAATTTTATTTGAATTATTTTTGGACAATTTTCGTTTTGCTATTAATTTCCTTTCTAATTTTATTCTGATTTGTCTAAAAACACATTATTTCTTACATTGTAAATGTCAAAGATGGCATATGAAAAATGTAGAAAACGACAATTAGAACATTAATTATTTTTGGTCATTTGATTTCCTAATAAATAAATTTTTTGTGGGTTGAATTATTGATGAGTGTAATTAGAGAAAAAAAAAGAAAGAAAAATTTTCGAACTTCAGAAAAATTTGGTTGAGGAAGATTCAGAAATTGTTGATCATATCAGATTATTGATGAAAAAATTACCAGCAAGAAATTTGGACGCGTTACAATTCCTGTTGCTCCATTTAAAACGAGTCACCTGGTCATTTTCTTCTTCTATTCTTTTTTTCCCCTTTCGAAAATTTGCATAAATACTTTTTTATCACTCCTCAATTACTCCCAATAATTTTGATCTAATTGAAAATTAAATTAGAAAGTAAAAACTCAAGAAAAAAAACATTGCATATATTTATATTTAATCGTCTTTTTTTTTCTGTCGCAAAACAAAAATTAAAAAATAGTTGGTGGGAATAAATGAGTATAAGTAATAATTTCTGTCATAACTTTAGACGATAATTTGATTATTTTTATTTGTAATTTTTTGATATTTTTAGGTTTGAAATGGACAATCTGATGACCGCATCAAATTTGGGTGCTGTAATAACACCATCAATGATTTGGAAGCACCCATCACCATCATCCACCTCAAACAATAACTTTCTTTCTAGTGCTCATTTGATGAGTAAAGCGGTAGAGCTAATCATCAAACATGCTTTTGTTAGTATCTGAAATATTTTGAATCTTAGCAATAATTATCCAGTGAATGAGAATTAAATTTGAAATTGTTGTAGTAGGAATTTTGGTGTTCTCAGAAAGTGATATGATAACGACTGCTAAAAAAAAAAAGGATGATTGTGATAACAACTCTTGGCTTAATTCTATCAATTAAAAAGGAAAAAATGGTTTAAAATAATCAATCTAGATTTATTCATCTAAATTTGGTATTTTTATTTCAAATTTTAAAGCTGAATAGTGAACTGCAAAAATCAATGCAAAAAATTGCAACGTATTTTGTTATCATTGGTTTGTGATAATCATAACAATGACGATAATGATTAATGGTGGCATTATCATTGATGTAATGGGATACTAAAAAAAAGCATTAAATTTGAATTAATTCAGGAAGTATTCAATGTTGACATCGGTGAAGACAAGCGAATCTTTTTCCAGCAGTATCCAGATACCGTTGACTCACTTTCTGTAGATCCGGAATTAGATGATCGATTGTGTGAAGGTGAAGGTATGTACTTTTAAAAATTTCAAATATTTCCAACTTTCCTTGTCTTAGTTTTTTTTTTTTTACGTGAGATTAAGGAATAAAATGAAATAAGAATTGATTCGAAGTTTGAAATGCTTAAATTTGATCATTTTCATATCAGTCAATTACCAACGCAATCGTTCATACCAGTTTAACAGATTTTGGACAAATATTCGCATTAATTTTTTCGAAATTCTGATTAATGAATTACTTATTTCTTATAGATACTATGTTATTTTTTCTTTCAGGAATAGTGGATGAAGATTTACTTGAAGATGAAACAGATGCAGTTTGTTCCGCTTTCCTACCGCAACCACCGACTCCAGATTTGTTAAAGAATACATCCCGTAACAAGATTGAAGCTTGTAAGGTTTTCTTTTTCTTTTTTTTTTCTTTTGTTTCAAATCTGTTCCCAGAAATTTAAAAAGAATTCAGATTTGCTTAAGAATTCAGATGAAAGGAAACAAATTGATGACAACTATCATCTAAAGTCATTTTATTGCATTTTCATAGTTATTTAAAGTAATGTTATTGTTATTCAGTTTGAAAGTAAAAGTTAGAAGCTGAAAAAAAAGTGGAAAATAAATGCCAAATTTTAAAAATTAAAAATAGAACTTGGAAAACATTCTTGTAATCACTCATATATCATGACAAATGAGAATAATCAAGCTTTAGATTCCATAAACGAAGATATTGATTTGGATAGTCCCTCGGGATCAGTACGTGCCAGTGGTTCAAGTCAATCCGGTGGTCTATCCGCAAGAGCTTATTCGTTAACGGGTTGGTTGGTGACTAAATTACTTAGTCTAATTAAGCTAAGTGGAATTTCTTTATGCTAATCGCACGTTTGTTTATATATGACATGTTTGAGGCTCAGACATCGATATACTTTATATATAGTTCTAATTAGAATGATAATAATCGTTAATGAAATCCATTCTAATGACATTATCCTTTTGATGGTCTAGAAAGAAGCAATATTCAAAGAATGTTGCTATAATCAAATTATTCCAGAATCTCTTGGCATTTTTCAGATCGGCTAGGAGATGAGAAAGGTAAGACAGAAGATGTCGGTGATAATGCTGCAAAACATTTACGCAATAGAATTGATAAAAAGCGTAGTTACACGACATCAATTCTAGTATCACCCCATCCGGACCGGAAGCTAATTTTACCCCAAAGACAGCATTCAGCAGAGGACAACTGCCCGCTTAGCATTTCTTCCGGTAATGTGACTGTTGAAGTTGGTAAGGTAAGATTTCTTTAAAATCTATTTAATCATTTTTAATTTCGGGAAAAATTAAACAAAGTCTTCTTTTGAAGAATTTGTTGGATTTGTTGAATTTAGAAATAATTTAATGCGGGAATTCAACTTGCTAAATATATTTTTCAGTTATTGTTCTCATCAATTTTTCAACTGTCTTGAAATGTTTTTGTTTTAGTTTACTATATTTTAAATATGAATAGTTAATTAAGTGCGACAAATTAAAATCATTATAAATAATCAATTTAAAAGGCAGAAAACACGTCGAAATTTATAACATACGTAAATTTTTCGCATCATACGCAAGCGACTATCTGATACTAACCAAATCATCAGTTTACAACATAATTTCCTTTTTAACTACAGGATCAGATCTACCTGCCGAGGGTAAATGATGATTGTGAACGTAAATCAAGAGAACATGAGCAGCTCTTGTTAATGGATTTTTGTAGCGGATTGAACACTGTGGAGAAGAATAGCCGTACAATGGTGGATTCAGAACCGGATACGGGTAGTAGCACTCCATATGTTCATTCTACTGGAACAGCACTTTTCCAGGAGGCCGATGTCAGTTATATCTAAAATAGGAAATCTCTCAGTATATCTACTGATACTGACTGTATTTCCTGTCGATACAAATTAAATTATTTTTAATGTACAGGAAAAAGAAACAGATTTCAAATAAGTTGCGATCGTATTCCGTAAGAGCTATAATGATATTTTTCAACATTTGTATTCAGCTACAAACTGAGTGACATTGAATAAAATAAAACTTGCTATAAGTTCCAAACCTTTTTCATAGGACGCAAATGTCATTGATGTATTTTAGATTCAGATGAATAGTGAAAGGATGATATGGTTTTCAGAGACAGAGAGAAAGAAATTGAAATTTCAGATTTCAGTTCTGAAATTACCTTAATTCCTGCTCAGTTTTTATCTTAAATGTTGTACTTTTCGATATTTTAGTTTCTTTTTCGAATAATATATAGGAATGAGAGCAGAAATCAACTAATTTTATATCAGATAGCAGAAAAAAGGGAAAAAAAAATCAATAAATCTGTTTAATAATTCAACATGACTTCTTGGCTCGGCCAGATATTTGAGTAGCGCTTTTGTAGGATGACAATTTATAGCAGTTTTCAATCATTAATGTGAATTTTATTATTGAAAAGGAAGGAAATAATAGTTCATTTTTCTTGTCAAGAAGAAATGATAGAATCATCGGTGTACTTTTTACAGACAGATTTGATTTATGCTTCCATTGAAATTCAAAAATAAGAAAATTGCGCATTATACCGTTAGCATCATTATCAAAACAACTTTTTTGCTATCCAATAAAATTAAGCTATCCTCTAGAAGGAAATATATATATATATATATATATGCCAATTACCTATAAGAAGAATGCAAAACATTATCCAAAAAGAAAAGGAAGGAAATGAAGATATTTGCTTCTAATCGAGAATTCTTACGGATTATCTCGATATCTAATCTTTTTTAATCATTCAAGATTTAAAAATTAACAGAGGAAAAAAATAATCTGATAAATTTTATCTTAACACAAAAGTTATCTACAACCTTCCAGTCTAATAACTTTTATGATTTTTGATCTTCTTGTATTAAAAAATTAATTCTTTGATTCCATGTTTGTATATAAATATTTTCATTTTTCTCTGTCGATGTCGATAAGCTTTATCTTTCAAAATGAAAAATCAGCAACAACAAATACATTATTATCATTTCCATTTAATATTATTATCATCATAACTATTGCAACCATTATTATTATTAATTATTTATCATTATTATTATTACGATTATGATTATGATTATGATTACTATTATTATTATTGTTATTATTATTATTATTATTATTATTATTATTATTATTATTATTATTATTATTATTATTATTATTATTATTAATTATTATTATTG